GAATGAAGCATTACTTCACAGGGTTGGTAAGCACTATGGCTTTCACGCGTTTCTTCATTTTAGTGCTATACTTTTCAGAACAAGCTAGTGAGGCCAAATCTTCAGTCTATCATCTTCTATTGCGGACGGAAAATTTTAGTTTCCACTCCTTGTAGTGTGAGACATGACCGGAAAGGCCTTATTTACGATCCATATTCCCGTCAAAAACAGTTCATCAAATTGAAGTTGGGCAGGCGGAAAGACTCTTATGACCATGTGGTATATATCATATGTGTGTAGAATACCAATTATCAAGCTTTTAGCTGATTTTTAGACGGAGTTTTGAACCGAAATCTTGTATTTGAAAAATTGACCGTATAAAGGTTAGAGTGGTCCGACTCGGACGGCTCGCACTGACTAAACTACTCAGTTTGTCCTTCTGATTCGGTCAGTATAAATTTTTGAAGATCTGTCTCTTCTCGTGCTGGTGTTTATATACTTCGGTCCAAAGTAATTATTCGTTTCATGCATATGAAAGGTATAAAAAATACGTTTTTTTGGAATAAATAGATTTTTTTTGTACAGAATATTGTAAAATATTTATTTCTCATTCACTTGCATGCAAATTCTAATTGCACTTAGCAGTAATAACAACTGATTTATCAATGTATGTATGTACGCAGTCGCATTCGTTTCGGCGCCATAATGGGTTAAAGTTGTGCGCCGTCTATACGAGTACATACAGCAGCTGCTGTGGGTAAATACTCAGTTTTTGAACAATAGTAAATATTGTAAAGCTGTAACTAGTGAGATTTTGTAGGTTTGAACGTGTCGCGAATTAGCTTTTGCTAACAACTTCCAGCGTAAGGTTAACCAGCTGCAATTGGGAACAGATTACAAAGAGATATGAAAATCACTTTACGGCGTTGTTAATCAATTAAAAACTTAACAGAAGCCGACAAGTAAATTTGTTGAATTGAAAGCAAACATTTAATTAGTTAAAACAGCTTAGTTGAGTGGTTAATAAGGTCTCTGCTAAGTGCTAAGGGATTGTTCGTTTTTTTCCTAGAGGACTATTATATATTGACGCTTTGAAACCGCTGAAGCGATTTTTCGACCGAGCTCCTCCTCCAATTTGTGGTTTGCATCTTGATGTTTTTCCAACAAAGGGAGAGACCTACATATTATACTAAGCCGCCGCCGAACGGCTGATGGTTTTTTTACGAGGAGTCTTTATTTCATGTCCGAAATACACTCAGAGGGGTGGACATTCCCAGCCGAGGGGCGACCGGAATTTTATTAACTTTTTCTTTGGATGTTGGTGGCACAGGGATTTGAACCCGAGCCTTTCGAATATCAGTACGTAATGATAACCACTCGGCTACCGCGGCCGCCATTTAATTAGATCACCATAAAAGGCTCAAAGGTCCAATGGGTTTATGCAAGGCTTATCAGCATCAGTGTAGTCTTGTTTAACTCTTGTACTGTGTGGCTGTTGTAAACTGCCCTTGATTATACCAGGAACAAATCAGTGAAGGATCAAAACTGTCTCTTGCAAATTACACTACCCCATTTCGCATTTAAGTCGAATATTCATAGATTTGATGCTAGAACAAATCCTTGAGTAGTCTTAAGGACAGGGTTGACTCCGCGTTGCTAAACGCTCCAGATATCTCGAGGAAGAGGCTCACAGCGCATTCCCTGATTCTACCGTTCACACGACATTATGAAATGCTGGGTCCACCAATTTACCCTCAGACATGCGAGTATGCTTTCATCCCTCGTTTGCTTGCTAGTCTTTGGGTGTCTAGTTTTCCCTATTTTGTATAGGAATACAACCCTTGCCGTCCGCCATGAAACTGGGAAGTATCTTACTCTAATGCGAGCTTAAGAATTTTGTAACCCCGTCACTGAATCTTCGGAGCATAGCTGGAAATAATAGAATCTAAAACCGGTTCTCTCTCGGCGAACGGAAACCAAACTCTACAAGTCGCTTATAATACCCGTCCTACTATATGGCGCAGAGGCGTGGACGATGTCAACAGCTGATGAGTCCACTTTGGAAGTCTTCGAGAGAAAAGTTTTGCAAATGATTTATGGTCCTTTGCGCATTGGCAACGGCGAATACTGCAGACGATGGAACATTGAGCTGTACGAGCTATACGATGATATTGACATAGTTTAGCGGATGAAGAGACAGCTGCTACGCTGGCTAGGTCATGTCGTCCGAATGGATAAAAGCACTCCAGCCAGCATTGAAAGCATTCAATGCAGTATTCGCCGTTGGAAGCAGAGGAAGCGGAAGACCTCCACTCCGTTTGAAGGGTCAGGTGGAGATTGAGCTGACCACACTTGGTATTTCCAACTGGTGTCATACGCCAGTAAAGAAGAAGAAGAAAACCGGTGATTTATAATCCGACACCTTCTGTATTGCTCACGCAATCTTATCTGGATCCACTATGCCATCCAAACTTTCCATATCTGCTCCGCCCTATGTAAACGTTGGGAATTGGGCGTCAAGAAGAATTTTCAGTGACTCCTTAATGGTATTGAATCTGAGAACAGATTTTTGTAAGCCCTTTAAGCCTTTTTACCTTGTATAGTCTTGCAGACTTTTTTTTGCTTGCCTTATAACTTTTGTTTTTATAACTTTAATAGGTCATTGTATTGATCTCTGCATGGTGTAGATTCAGCCATCCCGCTGATTTCAAACACTTATCTATTTTCTTTCTGAGAGTACCTACCTCGGGATTTCACCAGACCGGTTTATATTTAACCTTGATTTTTCGCTTTGTACAAAGAAATTTATGAGATATTTAAACCAAGCTCGGCACAGAGATGGACGGTCACATTTCAGCGATCATTTGTTGGAACTAGCCTGATCGGACTACCATAATGTCCCTATAAACAACCTATTTTACAGATTTTATAGCATCTTAAATGCATGAGGTTTGGTATTTTATAAACATATGGAGAATTACAATTTGCTACTGAAAACTATCGAACACTGAGGAGTAAATCATATAGCTCCCATACAAACGAATTGTTCAGATATGAGGTTTCGGCTCAAAAAATCCATTAAAAATACATCTAAACTCGTAAAATTTGTTGTATTGTATACATTTATATAAATAAATATTGACAGCGCAAATCATTGAAATCGGAAGATTGCATCATTTGGCTGCCATACAACCGGGTAGCTTAGATATGAGATTTTAAGTCAAACCTCTGCCGAAAAAACATCTAAGAACATGAAAGACGAAAGGTATAAGGATTAAAGACGGATACAAGGACTTCGGCATAGCCCAAGACAGTACATCTTTCTTGTTCCTCATTTATTTTTGTTAAATTATTTCATCATTATCGTTAAAATTTTTATCATATATATAGATACATTTAATAAATCATATTTATATACACTTGACGACTTATTAATTATTAACACATTATTAAATAAAAACTATATTACATACATTCATACATATTTATATATACATTGGCATAAGCCTCGTTGTTTATCGTGTACTTAGACAATTATCAATGCTTTTGATTTATAATTATTTTAATTATTTTTTTTGTTTGCAAATATTTTATTTTACCAAAAAAAAAATACTAAAAGAATTTACAAAAAAAAAAATTGTTATTAAATTACTTTTCTTTTTTACTTTACTCTGTTTTTTTTGCTTACAGTCTATAAAGCAATAAATTGTATTAACTTGTCGAAACAGTTACAATATCGATTTTATAAAACTACATATTTATATATTCTTCGTTTTACTTGCTAAAATACAATATATTGTTACTTTCTACATATAAATTAATATTATTATTATTAATCACAAGCCATGGATGTGTGTGTGTATGTGCGCGATTGAAAATGCCAACATTTAGAATGTTCGTATTTAAAAATAGAGTACATATGTAAATGTATATATGTATAAAAATTTGTGATGCAATTTTCACGAAGTTTTACTGGCTTTCATTGTTTTATGTGAGAACTCTTCTGAAGGGATGTTTTTAAAACAATTTTCAACTAATTTTTGTATGCATATAAATGTGTGGTTTACAGAAAAGGCGTTAAGAAAGTTGTTTCGATATTATTTTAAAGCTTTTTCGGAGTCATTAATTTTTTTTTAATGGTGAGTTTTACAGTCTAAAAACAATTATTAAATTTTTGAGTATAAAATGTGTTTGCTAATTTTTTTCAAATAAAATACTCAACTGTACAATGGTTGTTCCACTTGTTCATAATTGTTCGAGTGCAAAAGGCATTTATAATTAAAATAATTAAAATTTTGCACTTAAAATTTTTTTTTTCAAAAATATTTTGTTTTTTTTAACAAAATTAATGTTTTAAAAACTACCATGGGGTTTAAGTACAATTTTTGAAATGTGATTTTGTAGAAAATTATATGAAATGATAGAAGAAAATGCCTTGAACAGGTCAAAGAAATAATATTAAATATTATATAAATATAAATATTATTTTTTTGACAAAATTTTTTTTTAGAAATGCTTGCACATAATTACAAAAGATATATATTTTTACATATTACAAAAAACAAAAATTCCATATAGTACACTAATTTCTAAGTTTAATATACATATTCAGTTTAGTTCCAGAATTTTATAATTTCTAAAAAATAATATATTTTGAATGGGAAAACGTCACTCTTCTACTCCTGCTAATATACTCAAAACGTAGTTTACAGAATTCAGAATAAAACTACAGTTAGCATATTTTTTCGAATTAAAATAAAATTCAGCTTTAAAAGCATACCCTTAGGCGCATATGTACTGCCGTTGCCAACTAATTCAGTTGGTTATTTCGTTAGCTTAAGTTGGCGGCAAAGTATTGAAAGATCTTCGTAATTGCATACTTTTAGGCGTGTTGTTGAATTAATTTTTGAAAAACTTCTCAGCGTGTTTATAGATAAAAATATTTACAATATTAGTATTTTATATATTTTTTTGTTATAAATTTTTTGATAATTCAAACTTTTTTATACATTTTTTTTTGGTTTGAGAACGAAAATTTTTTACACTTTGTTACTTTGGCAGTGGTACATGACTTCCCTTCGCGCTTCAGCAAACAAAACTAAAGTGTTTTATTAAAACTCTATGACTACAAAAATTCAATTAACACAAAATTATGGAAGTGAAAATCATTGCGCTTGAAAGTATGCTACTAAGCACTGATATAAAACGAAAAATATTCCCTCAGTCTTTCCGAAGTCATATTTTGAAAACATTTCAACGCTTGCGCCGATCGATTTGCATTCACTTCCATTTTCCATTTTTCTCATCATTTTATTTTGATTCCGTTTTTGTGTTCCTCCCTCTCACCCTCATGCATCCGCATACATTATAACATCATCCATTAATACAGTCTCATTACTGCCACCCGAATGATGATCGACATTGGCCTCGGTGGATGGCAGCGCACTCGCACCACGCATATCCATATCAGTCTCATCCATTTCCGGTGTGGCGAGGCGTGCAAAAGTCGAGGCGGGTGTTGGCATCGGGCGCTTATGTCCAATCTCAGGCGCTGTGTAAACCGGTGGTGCAACTAAATGCTTATTTGGTGGACGATCAGCTGAATTGGGCAAGTGTAGATTTAAGCGATTCTCCAAATCATGCGCTTTGCGTTTAACATTTGAGGGTGGCAGCGCCGGTCTATGATCGCTATCCGTTGGTAGATTGATTTTACTAACTTGATAGAGTGGATGATGATGATGATGATTGTTGTTATTGTTGCTGTTGTTGTTATTATTATTAATAATATTGATGGGCGGCAAATGTGTACGTGGCGCTGCTGTAGGCGCACGCATGGACGGTTGGTTTGGCAGTCTATTTGGCATTGGCACGGCATACGGTGGCAGTTGGTCGGCGGCATAGTCGGCTGTGTGATTTTAAGGAGTGGAGAGTGAGCAGAAAACGTTAATGAAAATTGAATAATATATAAAATAAAAATTTTTAAGTATAAATTTTATGTTCTATAAAAATATTGAGTTTTTCATATATACATATATCTTTTTTAATATTATATTTCTATAAATATTATTTTTCTTTATTTATTTTTTTTTAATATTTTTTTAATATTATCTATTATAAATTTTTTATAAACATATTTTTCAAAACCATTATTCTTTTATGAATATAATTTTTTAAAAGATATTTTATTTTAATTTTTTTCATCAAAAAGATTTCGATTCAAAAATATTATTTGGGTAAAATTAAATCTTATTATTTATACTTTGTTGATAAAAATAGTAGTTTGCTCTAAATATTATTTTTTATAAATAGTATTTTTTAAATATCTTTTCTTAATAAGACTTTTTATAGTTTATTTGATAAAAAGTAATTTTTTCTAACTTTTATTTTTTTATGTACTATATATAATTTTTATAAGTATTAGTATATTATTTTTTATATAAAAAATAATTTTTTTAAATATTTTTTGATGCTTTCTTTTTTATTGTTTTTTTATAAATACTATTTTTTATAATATTTTTTTAAATAGTATTTTTCACACTTTTTTTGATACAAATATATATTATTGATATTTTCAAAATGTTCCTTTTTAATAGATATTATATTTTAGAAAATAATTATTTTTAATTTTAATTAATATTATTAAAGAATATTTTGTTTTTGATATTTTTACTTTATATATATTTTATTCATAAATACTATTTTGATAAATATTAATTTTTTGTAAATATTGTTTATATTTTTATTCTTTTTCATATTTTTTTATGGCTTTAATTTTTTAGTAGATTTTTTTATAAAAATATTTGTATTATTTTTTATTATTATATAATTCCTTTTTATAATTAATGTTTTTAATTTCGATTTGTTTTATAAAAATATTTTAATTATTTTTTATAATTATTTTTATTGTTTTTTTTTACACATTTTTTGTTTGTTAATATTAAACAATAAGAGTGTTTAGTATTTTTGTGTGAGTATTTTTTTTTTCGAAAATGATGCGTGTGTTTGTTATCTACAACCAGTGCGTTACAGCCGTAGGCCTTCAGGAGCAAAGTTACCACCACCAAGTTAAAGAAGTGCTACAATACAATAGAGTTATTCTAGGGGTTATTTAATATACATTACTAGTGGCTACAACTAAAATTATGTAATGCTTGAAAAAATTTTGATTCTTTTTTTGAGTACCTGATGTGCAAAGTGCTTTGTTTTTCTTGTGATTTATGCAGCCAATTCTATCCACGCGTAAGTCTGAAAGTGTTAACTCTCACAGGGCACAGCTCTAAAAGTGCTTAAGCTATATTTTTTTCTAAAATTGTATTCTTAAAAGAAAGTCAATTTTGTAAAGGCAAAATAATTTTAAATTATATTTTTTAATCGATTTTTTTTTTAAGAATATTCCCTTTTTTTCTTAGTCTGAAAGAAAACATACGAATCTCTACAAATTTTTTTATAATCAATCAATACTAGAAGCTTTACATTTTTTAGTATTTTTTTTAGTAATAAAAAAAATTAATAAGTTTGAAATTTTCTTTTTTGATTTTTATTCAATTATTTCTTATTTTATTCATTATTTTCATAAAAATAACAGATTATTTTGATAAAAAAAAATCTTAGAAATTATTAAGCATAAACATAAATTAATTCCAATTTACAAACTAGTATTATTCACACCAAAATTTAAAGGGTTATACGCAGTTAGAATTTTAAGAAATTCGAAAGTTTTTTGTGCGCTTTTGGAATTGTAGACATTTAAGTTTAAGCCAATAAATATTTCTGGTTATCCAAGTCGCCAAAATGAAAATTACCGCCAAGTGTCATTTTAATGTCCTTTTAGCACATAACTACAGGAAAATCATTCTTAAAGTGGAGTCTAGTGAATTATTTATTATATTTGTAATTTGGAGAAAAAAATATTTTTTTGCGACATGAGACTGTCCCTTGATGCCTTGAACATTTGATATACAAATTTTTGGAATCATTATTTTTTTTTTATAATTAATTTTTCTATTTTTTGTTTCTTTTTTTAATATTTCAAATTTTTTTTTGTAGTTTGCTCACTCGTCAAAAACCACGAGTTTTGATGCTCGATTTTATAATCCTGTGCGATGTGGTTTTCTTGAACCATTTTTTAATAATTACTGGATTTTATATTTTTTTATTTTTTAGTGCTTATTTTTTGTCTCGTTATTTTAATTATTTCTTATTGTTTTAAACTTTTTATTTTTAATGCTTATTATTTATTTTTGTTTTTAGTTTATTATTTTTTATTTTTTCATTTAAATTTTTTATTTCTCAGTGCTTATTTTTCATCTTTATATTTTTATTACTTTTTCTTTTTTTAGTTTTTGTATTTTTATTTTTATTATTTTTTATATATATATTATTATTATTTTTTATATTTAGTCCTTATTTTTTTATTTTTTTTATTTTATTATTTATACATTTTAGTTTTTTTTATTTATATTTTATATTTTTTCGTTTAATTTTTTTTATTCCTTAGTGCTTATTTTTCATCTTTATGTTTTTATATTTTTTTTTTAATTTTTTATTTTTTTAGTTTTTGTCTATTTACATTTAATACTTTTTTAAATTTTTTTATTTGTTTTTTTTTTTTTAGTGCTTATTTTTATTATTATTTTTTGAAATATTATTTATTTTTATTTTTACTTTTTGGTGTTTATCTTTCATCTTTATATTTATATTATTTTTTAGTTTTTATTAATTTTAAATTTTTTTAGTTTTTGTCCTTTTATTTTTAATATTTTTTATTTAAATTTTTTTTGTGCTTATTTTTAATGCTTATTTTTCATCTTTATTTATTTTTTTTTATTAAGAATTTATTTATTTTAATTAATTTATTTTTTATTTTTTTTATTTTCTTTCTCAGCCACAAAAAAAACTGGTATTGAATCTCGCTCTGATATTCCTGTGCTATATTTATTTGTAGAATATTTTATTAATAAAAAAATTACTTATTTTTAGTCTCGCACCTGCGTTTACACCCTTAAACCAGTCGTTTTTTTGTTAGGATCATTTTAGATTTTTTTTTAAATATATTTAACGTTCTCACGGACAAAAACCACAACTTTTGAATCAGAATTTTATTTTCCAGTCTGATATAGATTAATGAAAAATATTATTTTTTTACTTGGCGACATTAATTTCTAAAATAGTAAACAGATTAATGAAAGAATTATTAAAATATAAAAAAATATAAATATATATCGATAAATAAAAAAATAATAATTTCAATAAATAAATATTGCTTAGATTTCCGAACTTTATTATTTAACTTAATAATACTAACTTCGTTCGCATTTTCGAGTTCTAGAAAAAATTGTCTAAAGTAAAATAAAAATATTTACATATTGCATTCGAATTTTTCACGTCCGATTTTACACGAAACCGATCTAATTTATAATCTAAAAGTAACTCATTAACTTAACATATTTTCACACCCATCAAGCTTAAAATGTTGTTAAGGGAATTTTTCTTATTTTATTATGCTCGATTTGATACTGATTTGTGCAGCTTTTGAAGTTTACATTTTTTTCGTTGATATTGTGCTAAAAAAGTTTTTAAGGTCATACGAAAAAGTGAAGCTCATTACTTGTTATAAACTTCGAAAGCTCAAGCTTGAGCTTTCACCTCATAAACGGGTTCAATTCTTCTGTTTTGGAGAAATATATGAGACTGCTGCAAGCTTTCACTAAGGTATTCACTGCACAAATCGTTTAATGTAATTTTTATATACATACATACATACATTTTAATATTTAATAAATTCACAGCCTATAATATATTGTGTTTGTTTTCAAGTGCGGAGAATAAAATGTGGTAACTAAATACTTGCAAACTAACGAACAATGTTAAGAACAACACATAAAACTTGGTGTGGACTGTTTTGCTTTGGTGCTGGTCTCGAATTAAAATGATTGGTGTGTGCACTACATTTTTAACGTGTTTCATATTTGTGGGGACTTGACAGACAAGATTTGCACTTTCGTTTTCGCTAGTACACAAAATTACCTCGATTATTCACAGGCTCCGCATACTCCAACTCCGCAGACATGGCCGACGCTAGATCGTGTGGCGTCGCATATACACGACCATCAGCCGGTGAAGCGTAGTCGGGCAGCAGTGGCTGCCCCAACTCCTCGTAGAAAGGTTCATTGGGTATATTATGTATGTCGGCGTTACGTGCGACGACACTCTCTATGCCATTCACACGTTCACGTTCACGCTCCCGCTCGCGTTCACGTTCACGCTCGCGCTCCAAACACGCCGCTTCACGACTCGCCACAATATGCGCCGTGTCAATACAACCGGCATAATGTGGACCTTCGTAATTTTCGCGTTGCACGTGCGTAAAACTTTCCGTGCGACAGATGGCATTCGTCGATGCGAGCTGTAGGGTTTGCGTCTGTGGTTGTATGTGCTGGGCCAGCACACGCGAGAAGGCGTTCAAATCTTCACAACGTACAATTTTATTGAGTAAATTCTCGATTTTCGTTATCGTCTTAACACACTGCGTTTGGGTGCGATTCTTTAGCAACAATTCGTGACACAAAACGCTGATTTGTTTGTCATAACGTGGATGACGATTTTGTATGAGCTTTTGTGCGCGTTCGATGATGATTTGTTCATCGTTGGTGAATTCATGACGATGCTGTTGCTGGTGCTCAAACTGGTCCGCCTGCCGTGCGCACTTACGCTGACGGCGACACAAACAGCGCAACACTAATATCAGTATAATGATGAGTATGATGGCCAAAACCAAGGCCGTGCCGAGGTAGATAATATGCAAAAATTGTGTGGCCTGTTGTTCGAGTTCGTCGAGTGTGAAGAAGTTGCCGTCCACCTTCTTGAGTTTCCGATTGGCGCCACAATCCAAGGTCGTCTTCTGCTCATCGCATACTACATGTTCGTAGCGCGCCATATTGAAGGTGGTCGCATTAAAGCAAGCGCCCAACTTCTTATCGACTGTACAATAGATTTGGGCACGCAAATCGCGTTCGGTGTATTCGTCGAGCCAATCGCGATTACATCGGCACGGTAGATCTACGATAATCTCATGCATAATACAATGGCGATTTTTAATATTCAAACTGCCGCGTTTCGGTTTGGTTAGTGAGTTGCCCTCGAAACGGCACGCGACGGGATTCGTTGTATTCTCCACTATAATGCCACCAAAATCACCGAAACTATTGTTCACAATAACAATGCTTGACCATTCCTTGATGCGCAACCAATTTTGACCGAGATGTTTTATATGATTGTCGGCGATGGTCGCATTGATCGAATTCACTTGTATGGCGTTCTCGTGGATGGTGTCAATGCTACGGAGATGGTAAATTAAAAGGTATAAATTAGGATATGATGTTTTCATTATAAATTCGCTTCACATACCTGTTATTACGTAAAGTCAGTTCATTGATGCCACTACCGTTTATAGCCTCGCCTTCAATGTAGCCGATGACACCGCCAATGAATAAAACGCTCATGCTGAATAACTGTAAAAATATTTGAAAGAATTTATTAAATTTTTTTTCCAATTATTTTTAAGAACTATTTAATAGATAAAACTGAATTTTCTGAAACAAAGACTGAGGTTTGAGGTTTAGTCGATTTTCCAAAATTTATTCTGAAATTACAGCACCATTAGAGTCTGCTGCTAAGAAATAATACATTTAAACATATTGCTCTTCAAGGCTGGGCAACTGTTGAGTCGTGGTGAGACAGGACTTGTCTTTTCAATCAGAAGGTATGGGAATCCGAGGGCGGGGTTTCCCTCGAAAAGTCGCTGTAAGACTCTGCTTGTCAGGATCTTTGGTCGGCTCGATTGTAAAGTAGTTCGGTATTTTTAAACGGCTCAAATAATTCCTTGCTGCATTGCTTGAAATTTATTATCTCTGTGCTGGTCATGGGTGGCTCCTTCTTCTTCTCTAGGGGACATTGGTTATTACGGATGGATCAAAGCTTGACGTGAAAGTCGGCGTGGTAGTCTTCTTTCCGTTCATCGGAGGAAGGCTTAGGCTGTCAGACTAGTGCAGTGTTTTTCAGGAGGAAGTAGTTGCTATCAAGGAAGCGGTAGAGACACTGCTCCGAATTGAATCAGGCTATTAAGATATCCGATTGGCTATTACAGACTTGCGCTTAATCATGATGAGCTTCAAATTGTAAAGGAATACTTGTCAACACTGTTTATTTAATATTTCAGAATAAAAATCATATGGATATCAACTCAGAGAGCGTCGGCCTAGAACTTCAACTTGAGCGGTTGCGAGATCCTTCTGGCTTACAGTGGGCCGTGGAAGGTGTGGGAAGTTTCCTTCTATAATAATAATAGTACAGATCTCTAAATACCTTTATAAGCTATACGAATTTTCTAAAATTCTCTCTAAGCCTGTAGGAATAAGTTTTTTTTACATTCATAAGCTTTCACTCACCTTCTCCGTAATCGCCCGTGATTTGATCACATCAATGCGACTATTATAAAACTCAATAGAATGTATATTATTAACATCGAAAGAACCGCTATTGATGGTGCCAATACTACAATTGACGAATTTTATTCCACGCAGTGATGCCTCGAAACGATAAATATTGTCGACGTGTGAATTCTCGATGTACAGCTGAAATGAATGAAAAAATAATTAAGAAGAGAGTCTATAAAGTCAATGAATTAAAAAAAAAAATTGAAAATTGAAAGATTTTATAAAAAAATTAAATTATTTAAATAAAAAACACTCACCGTAGCATTGGCTGAATTGAACGCATTCTCTTCAATGTGCAAATCAGCAACGCTAACAAATCGTCCATTCACTTCGGCTTTTTCAAAAGCATTCGGAAACAAAATCAAATCGTTGCTATTGTGAACGTTGAATTTTTTGTTGCCTGTAGGGGAAAAATAAATATAATTAAATATTTTGAAATACTAATAAACTAAAAAATGAAAATAATTAAAATCTTAAAAAAATAAATAAAGTTATAAAAAGTCACAAGAAAATAAAAATTAACAAAAGAGGAAAAAAATAAAAACTTAAAACAAAAATAAAACTAATTAAAAAAAAAATAATTAAAACCAAACTAAATCTAATTGAAATTAAAATTTGAAATTAAAAAAATACTACTTAAAAAATTAAAAAAGGAGATGAAACAATTATAAGGAAATAAATAATAATTAAAAAAATAAAAATTAAATTTAATTTAATTTAAAAAATGAAGATGATAGAATAAATTGAAAGAATGAAAAATATTAAAATAATATTTAAATTTATTACACAAAAAAGGAGATGAAAAAATGTATATAAAAAAACGAAAAATAATTGAAAACCCTGAGTAAAAAATTAAAAAAAAAAATAAATTACAACTAAAATTAAGATTAAAATATTGAAATTTAAAAAGAGGTCAATTATAAGAGTAATAAATAAGTAAATAATTATAAAAAAATCAAAACGAAGAAATTAAAAGAAATAAATAAAAATGAAGGAAATATAAAAGATTACTAACAAACATGTGAAAATTCAATTAAAAAAAAGATAAAAATTAAAAAGAAAATAAAAATAAATTAAAAAAATAATAACATAAACAAATACAAAAAATAAATAACAAAGGGATTAAAAATATTAAGAACTGAAAATAAAATAAAATATTATTACAAGAAAAAAATAAAATTTTAAATTAAAAATGAAGTTAAAAAATATAAAATATAATGAAAGAAAAAAATATACAATAAAAAAAGTTAAAAAATAATAAAAATTAAGAATTGAAAAAGTATATATAAAAAAATGAAAATAATGAATAAAAATAATAAATAACTTAATATAATTTATAAAATGGATATGCAAAATTTAAGAAGTCAAAAATAATTAAAAAATAAAAACAAAAAATAAAATGAAAAAATAACTAGAAAAATAAAAAGAAAAGATAATAAAAAGTATAAAAAGAAAAGATAATTAGAAAGATGAAAATAAAAATTAATTAAAAATATAAAAAAAAATAAGCATAAAATAAATGAAAGGAGAAAAATAAATAAAAATTAATTATGGAAAATTATATAAAAAAAATCACTCACCGCAGAATGCACCCGCGCGCACCACCACTGAAAATACATCTTTCATTGTAATTTCCGGATAAGGCCCCATTGCATTTGGAAAAGCTCCCTTCGTGATCTCCACTTGTTCACCATCATTATATGAGCCAATAATTGTCAAACTATTCATAAGTGAATTGTTAACAAATAAACCGTTTTCCACGCGCATATGTGTACGTGGGGCCAATCTAATTGTCATCGCTTTTGTCGTTTTTGGTATCTGGTAACTTGTGTCCAATATTTCGCTCAACGGTGTCTGTGTGTAGAAGCAGAGGAATAGAAAAAATGCATTATTGTTTAAATTATCAATTAATAATAATCAGTAAAAAAATATATGTGAAACACCACACCACCTTTAAGTATTTGAAAAACAAACAAACAAATTGTGAACCCGTCGAAAATTAAATCGCATTGCATGCCAACACACTCGGGTGCATTTTGCCATAAAAATATTTATTTATTTAATTTTTATTTTTCTTGGATGAATCACGCCTGCTACTTTACGAGTGGGGTAGTTTGCTTAAACGATAATTTCTTGTTTGCTCAGCATTATTCTTAACAACAGTGTGTCAAGACCGAAGTTCAAGTATTGAATATCAAGAAAAAATAAAATAAAAGTAAAAAAAAAATTGTTGTAATTTAAGCCAAGTCAGTTGTTATGTTTGGCAAAATAAAAATAAACAAACAAAAATAAAATAAAATTAAAATATTTTATTGCTTTAAATATAAAATTGTAATCCTTTTTTAAGAGTTTATAAAAGTAAAAAACATTTTCAGGCTTATATTGATATAAAAAAAATTAATAATCTTAAAATTAAAAAAAAAACATAACAAGAAAGAAAAGCCGAAGTCTTTATACCTTTCATTTCGATAAACTTCGGGGGCAATTTATTCAATTATTGACTGTTTTTTGGCCCAAAATTTCATATTTGAACAAATCGGTTGTATGGCAGCTCTACGATATAGTGGTCCGATCTGGCCAACAAATGATCAATATATATAAACAATTGGCGCTTTAGAGCTCCTCCTCCAATATGTGCTTTTGCGTCTTTATGTTTTTCCAACAAATGGAGGAAGCCGATCAATACAGTATGAAACATACATCTGCTCACCAAGTTAGGTTGAAATGCCTCAGAAAACTGAGTGATTAGTTTGCGTATAAACAGACGGACAGACGGCTCTAAATCAACTCAATTGGTCATTCCGATCATATCGGTGTAAACTTTGACGGAGCTTTCCCTCTCCTTCTGGCACTTGGCGAAACAATTGATCGTTTCAGTCTGAAGATCAAACAGCAGCGGATGTCGTTGATTTACCGAATGAGCTATTCGAACATGGCGGCGAAGAGATGACTTGCTCAATCAAGTGTGCCCTGCTTAATACGCTGAAAGGTGGATCCCACAATCTACGCTATTAATCTGAGCCACCTCGCATACAAGACCTTATCTAACACATACTGGGAAAGAATAAAGCTCACCGTAACAAATGGTTAGAATCTTATCAGTTTGGCAAATCTACCATTGACCAGACCATGGAAAAAGACATGACAAGTCCTGGAAAAGAGCCATGCAGAAGGAGGGGCAAATACCACCACCTTGTCGGTTTTTAAGCTGCACGAAAAGAAGCTACCTCTTTGCCGTTGTGTTTGAATTTGGTATTGCTGAAAAATCTATACAGCTAAGCATTACAAACAGCTTCGTCAAGATCGGGTACGATCTCTCCGAGACGTTCGATTCTAAATGGGTTTTCAGTTAATGTGACTGCTTCTTTCGTTAAATGCTGATATAAATAATACAAGCTACGAAGGCAACGCGATTGCTGACAAACTGTCTAAGGAGGAAGTACTTTCGGAACAGGAAATAGTCATGGACACTTAGCAGGCACTGGGAATGAGCAAAAGGCTGCAATATGGCGCTCACTAAGTTTCTACTAAGGATAAATAGTTACGACTGTAGGCAGAAAGTAGGGTTGTGAACAGGGCATCGCATGTCATTAAGTTGCGTGGCGTGGTTAAAGACAACAAACGCAGCAAATGCTTGAAAGGGGTAGAGAGAGAGAGAGGGCACAGCACGTAATCTGTGAATACCCGGCGCACCCCTGAGAGAGCCCGGCGCACCACAGACAGTGCTCGATTTCACTTGGCGTTATAAATTGCAGAGTCTTCTGTCTGCAGCGGTTAATAGTCCGAAATATCTGTAAACCAAAGACACAATTGGAACCGCTGAGGCGATTTTCGGCCGGTTTCGTCCTCCAATTTGTGAAATGCGTCTTTATGTTTTTCCGACAAATAGAGGGACCAACAGTTCATTCTGAGCCGCCTTCGAAGGGCCGATAAATTTTTATGAGGAACTTTTATTTGATATCAGATATACACTCGGAGTCTCTACGTTCCCTGCCGAGGGTCGCCTAGAAAAATTAATTTTCTACAATTTTGGTTGTTGGTCGAACCGTTGAATTGGACTTAGACAAGGACGATAACATTAACATTTTTCTCTTGCTCTTGCTTATTTCCACATTCTTTATACATATTTATGTATGTTATTCAATATAAAATTCATTTCAGTTCAATTAAGCATACGAATTTATGACCTCAAAGAAGTTTTCATTTCACAAAAGCGGATGTTTATAAATTTGCAATAAACTATTTAATTAAATTTATTTATTTATTTTGTTTTTCTGGCATTATTGAGTTATGATTACTTGATTTATGCGAAGATTGTAAAGTAGTCAAAACCTTTTAATAAATAAATTCATCAAAGATTAGAAAGAAAAACAATCAAGCGCATTTTACATTTTTCTCACAATTATACATTTTTATGTTAATAAATTTAATTTAAATGTCTATTTACTTAAGCTGCAATAAAATTTCTTTAAAATATCAATTATTCAATTAATTAGGCGAGAGATGCTTGTACATCTAATACATACATATGTATATACGGGCTACAGATTCATGTCTCCATAAGTATTTATGTATGTAACAAATTCATTAATTTACTTGTTCGCCTGCGATAAGAGCAAAAACAAATGCGTTGAGCTGTGTACAGCGATTCAAGTACTTGAAAAAGTAAATAAATATTATATGTATGTAATAGCACAAAAGAAAGCATAATTACAATATTTTTCAATGATTCATATAAAAAAAAATATATATTTATGTCTGCACTTCTGTCACATACCGGGTTTTCCAAGAAGAGTTTTTATTTTGATATTAAAAATAAAAATTAATTTCCGGATATTTATTTCAATGTAAATATGAAGAAATGCCAATAATAATGAAAAACAATATTAGTCAAATAACCGCCTTAGCTACGTTTACATTGCCTTATTCTTTTTATAAAACTTTCCATCACCAAATCACAAAGTGGCTGCTGCATACCCTCAATAGCTTTACGGATGCAGTTTACGTTGCTCACATGGCTCCAAAGTAAGAAGCCGCATGGTGTTACCATACTAACTCTTGATAGGGCAATCCATTCACCATAACTGCTTAATTTTCGAGGACGTAAGGAGCAATGATCCCGCCGGATCATAACCCACGCCAAAAAGTAACACGTTGAGAATGGAGAGGTTTCTCAACTATAAAATTTTGGGCACCCAACAGGCAAAGAAACAACATTGTCGATGTTTTATTCTTAACATTGCTAACTTGTTCCGTTAAGGTGTTTCACGACGACCGTCTCTCCCAGGATTTCATCATGTTTTTTTTAGTGAATTTGATTAATCTCAATGAGTCGCTGAAGGCTGTAACATCCCATTTTCTATTGGCGTAGCTTTTACTTGTAAAATTTCAAAAAAAAAAAATACAGCTCCAAAAGTGGCATCTACCTATAGCAGGCCTCAACATCTCAACACTTCTTATTGGAAACCCCTTTACGTAGTCTTCTAATTAAAAAAAAAAATCCCATAAAGTATTGTTAGTGCTTCTAAAATTTATTCATTTTGCATTTACTTTATATTTATATTTATGTTTTTTTTTTTTAATTTTTATTTTGTTTATTTTATAAATTTTTCTGTTATTTTTCTTATTTTCTTTTACTTTGAATTTGATTGCATTGGTTTCCCGAATGTATGCTGTATAGCCTTGAATCTTTGTTTGTATGTATGTACATGGTCGGAGAAAACATATTGCACTAATTTGTTGTTGTTTAGCACGCGTAATGCGTATTTTGAACATTCTGGCACCGTACTTAGGAAAAACAACATCGTTTTCATTCGATCAAGAGGGATTAACGTTGATGCACTTTTAATTCTAGAAACCTCAAAGAAAGTCATGAAAAAGTATGTTCGTTCAATACAGTTGAGAAAATGTGAAATTTTGAATGAATGCACACTTTGTAATTTCACAAAACACGTTAAGTCATGAATGTATGTATGATACATTCTTAAGGAGACAATTTATATTAGGTAAAGTAAAAATTTCGTTCGGTTTTTTTTTATTGATTTTTCAAAATACTATAACTTTGTGTATATTTATCCGATTTAAGTCAAATACGCGCCGTTTGATTCGTAAACTTGTTGCCAACCAGATGCCAACTTCATTATACCCCTCTCGTAGAAGGCTGCGTCCCTATTGGAAAAAAAATCGGAGAGCCAATTTTCACAGGCCTCTCTCCATTAAGCGCGTTTGCCATGGACAGGAAAAGATGGTAATCACTTGGTGCCAGGTCCGGACTATTAGATGGGTCCGAGCTCATGAAGCTTCTGGCGCTTCACCAAAAACGTCTGTGGCCTGGCGTTGTCCTGATGGAACACAATTCGGCCTCTGTTGAACAAGATGGTCTCTTCTGGATAAGCGCTGCCTTCAAGCGGTGTAGTTTTTTGCATTAGAGGGCCGAATCGAGCGTTTGCTCATAGGGAAGCAGCTCGTAGTAGACGATTCTTTACCAATCCCACTAAACACACAGCAAAACCTGATGCATCTTTGACATCGAAATTACCAGAACGGAACCTAGCAAACCACTTTTGTGCCACACGTTCGTTCACAGTATCGGACCCATAAACTAATTTAATTTTTTCAGCCGCTTTGGCTGCCTTTTCCGGCTTGATCAAAGAAAAATTGTAAAATATAGCGAATTTTCGCTTTGCTGGTGTCCAGCTTTGACGAGCGCTCACAATGTACTGACTCAATCAATCGAAAAACCGTCAAAGACAAATTTTGAGCGCGAATAAACACGTTTTTTTCAGCGTCCTATAGTATGACATGATACGTTTTAATATAAAAAATCTCAAAAACATTCTTCACTTAAGCTTTCA